CTGGCTTCAAAGGAGAACAGCAGGCAGTCCAAGGAGCTCACTTGACATTCAAGTGAACTTGAGCCAGCATCTGAACCTCCCTTAGCCTTGGGGATTTCCTCTAAGTGCATATTTGAATCCCTGCTTCTCTGTCTGCTGTGCAGATACTAGGCATGAATGTGTTACTTGCAGGAAAGGACTGAATTGTAGTTGCTACTGAACTCATAATTCTGTGCTGGCTTTTTAAGTCAAAGACAATACATATCTGCTGTGTTCCAAACAATGCTTCCTAAAAAGTTCCCTCCTTTACTTTTGTTTTAAGTTGGCTATACTATCCTTCCCTATTGCCCCAGCCCCGATCCCTTTGGTCTCTGTGCCAAAGGGGACAACAGCTGCAACCCTTGTGCTTAAATTGCATGTTTCTGAATGACAGTCAGTCTTGATGTAGACACACCCTGGCTCCAGGATGACCAGCTGTCAGGACAGTGCCCCCGTCTGAGCACGCTCCCTAAATCCTCTACCTGGCCTGTGGTTGCCGGTGCATTCAGTCACCATCAACTGAGACCTCGTTCTGTGTCAGGCCCAGGGCTGGAGCCTGGAGACAAAAACCTGGTCCTTGCCTTCCTAGCTCTCAGGCTCCAGTGGGAGGAGACATGCACACACCCAAAGGACAGTCCGCTGTCAGCACCTGAGGGCACAAACGGCAAGGATTAGCAGCACAGGCTTTGTAGCTGGATAAGTCTGGGCTCCAATTTTAACTCTAGCACGCAATAGCTTCAGGACCTGGAGCAGGTGACTCCTCTGAGCGTCAGTTTCCTGGTGTGGTGCTGTGGGCTAATGTGTCAGACTGCAAAGTCAGTTTGAACCACAAGGTCAGCAGTTCAAGCTCACCAGACGCTCCTTGGAAACCCTATACAGAGTCACAAGCTACTCAATGGCATTTAACAACAATAACAAATAACAACTGTCTCATGGTGTAGCTGTGAAGGTGGAATGAACCCACACAGGGAACCCTGTGAGGGCTGGGATGGCCTTGTTTTCGGGGTCTCTCAGCTTTTCTGCCTTTAACAGAGTGCTGTCTTGCACTTTTCTATCACTCTTTATCATTGGTGTTACATGACATGGAGTTGTTTCTGACTTATAGTGACCCTGCATTGGGTTTCCAAGGAGCAACTGCATGGTTCCCTAACTTTACCTCCAGTTAGAACCACCTGGGTAGCTTTTTAAAATGTCCATGCCCACACCAGACTGCAGAGTCCTGGTGCGGTGCTGTGGGTTAATACACCAGACAGCAAAGCTGTTTGAACTGCAAGGTCAGTGGTTCAAGTTCACCACCTGCTCCTCAGAAACCCTATACAGGGTAGCTATGGGTCAGAACTGACTCAACAGCACTTCACAACAACAACAACACCAGACTGCACATCCCAAACAAAATTGGAGACCTCGAGGATGGGTCTGGGCATGAATGTTTTGGGGGTTTTTTTGTGTTGTTTTTTTAAGTCTTTATTTTGAATTGAGTGATAGTTTACATGGGAGAACGTTGGTTTTACACTCATCATTTCATTGCGATGATTATAATCTCCTCTATGCATCATTGCTATGAGTCAGTACCGACTTGATGGCACCAAACAACAACAACAACAACGCATCATCATTCAACAGTATTTGCTTCTTTCTATTCCCTCTGGGGTTTTGTTTGTTTGGTTTTTGAATGTACACAAAAACACTCAGGAATATATAATCATTTAAACAACCAAAGGGCACATTCTGCAAGTATGCCTCCTGGCTGCCAGCACACAGCCTTTCTCTTTCCATGAGTCTAAAGTCTTCAGTTGCTTCCTCTCTCCATGTCTTCATCTCTGGTGTCGCTGCTTCTCTGGGTAGGGTCCCACATTTCACTCATGCTCTTCTCCCTTGATGATCCTAGGGTCCTCTCTTTCTGGACTGTAAGATTAACTACTCCCCCATTTTTGTTACAAAACCTTTACAATTGAGGCAGTTGCAATTAGTCATGGTAACAATTATTCACTATTGAATCATAGGAATCTTATTACCATCTCTTTTCACCAGACCCATCTAGACAAGATGACAACTATTCAGTGGGGACTCTGTCTGGCCCCGCACACTCTGAAACTAAACGCTCTCTTGAAACCTTGTAAGCCAATCACTTTGTGCCTTTGTAGCTCCGCCCCCATCTTAGGTAGCCAATGACATGAGTGTTTTTATAAAGGTCCTCAGGTGGTTCCAATATGTATCCATGTTTGGGAACCAGTCGATTGAAAACCAACCACACAGTTGCCATGAGCTGACTCCAACTGATGGTGACGCCCCCATGTGTGCCAGAGTAGAACTGTGCTCCATGGGGTTCTCAGCAGAGAGTTTTTCAGAAGTAGATCCCTAGGCTTTTCTTCCAAGGCACACTTGACCCTCCAACCTCTCCATCAGCAGCTGGGCGCAGTAACCATTTGCACCACACGGGGACTCCTGGATTGAACCTGGTGGTGGTGGCTGTGTGCCGTGGAGTCGGTTCCAACCCATAGCGACCCTGTACAGGGTTTCCATGGCTGTAAATCTCTACGGGAGCAGAATGCTTCATCTTTCTCCCACGGAACAGCTGGTAGTTTCGAACTGCTGACATTACGGTTCGCAGTCCAATTCATAACCACTACACTACCAGAGCTCCTGGATGGAACATAGTGAGTCTTCAATAAATATCAGCCGCTGTTCTTGATGCTGGCAATTGTTGATAAGTCCCGTAGGTCAATTCCAACTCATAGAGACCCTGTGTAGGGTTCCAGGGAGCAGCTGGTAGGTTTGAACTGTCGACTTTGAGGTTAGCAGTTCAGTGCTTATTCTACAGTGCCACACCAGACCTCCAGAGGTGATGTTACAAGTCCTAAAAGGGACCTATCTAGCCTTTAACAATGTGTGCTTGTCGTGGGCACTCCATAAGTGTTCACCCAGCCAGGGGCAGCCAGTCAACCACTGACTTTGATATCAAGTAAGACCCCAAGCAAGTCACTTATTCATTCTGTGACTTCATAATGTCTCTCTTACAGCAAAAGCCAGTATAATAAACGCGGGCCATTGTAAATAGTTTCTGCAGCAGGGACAATTTTAGACTTGTGAGTATATGTTTACAGCATCAGTCATCGTCTTCCTTCTTTATTAAAAAATAGTGACTTGGCTCTATAATTGTGTTGCCATTTCCAGGCCACTACAGCGGATGGAGTGAACCTCACCACCGAGGTTGTCTACAAAAGAGGCCAGGATTATAGGTTTGTGTGCTACAACCGAGGGCGAACCTGCCAGAGCTACCGTGTGAGGTTCCTCTGTGGCAACTCTGGTAAGCAGCTCCTTTTTGGGGACAGAAACACAGCTTTGGTGTCATTTGTGTAGTTGGCAGTAACACGCCGCAAGTTTGGGTGGCGGGTCAGCCTCTGCTGAGCATCTCCAGTGACATAGTGCTGCTTCTGAGCTCCTGATAGAAGACCCTTTTGTGGTCCCGGTGCAGTGGGAGGGTGCCGGATGCTTGCAGGAAGGAAAGGGTTTGATCCAAGACCCCCAGGGCTGCAGTGGACAAGGTTGTCCTTCCGGCAGCCCTCCCCCACAGAGATGCACCACTCTTGGCCTCTTTGGCTGCTATTATTTTAAACCCAGTTCCCGAGGTGATCGTTAGAAGGGATTGGAAATGGTTAGTTTGTTGGCTGAGGGACTTGGCCGTCTCCAGAAAGCAGTTATTAGCAATGGGAGTTCTTTGGTGGGAGAGGTTATGGCTACTGTAAATACTAGTTGAGAGGAACTATATTTGTTTTATATCTTGAGCAAAGTGGGTGTGGTGAGACAGCCACATTTAACTCGGGGTAAGGAGTTAGTGGAAAATTCCCCTGCCCAGAGCTAATGAATGGCTCTTTTCTGGTAGGGTTTTTTGTTGACTTCAAAAACCTGCACCAAGACCGGGATGGGGTGAACCGGTGATTGGGGTTTTGGATAGGCAAGCCTGGCATTTGCTTATTTAGGGAGGGAGAGGAAAGAGATGGGCAGCCAACAGTTGGCCAAGAGCAAAGGGCTCTATCTCAGGTCTTCCTTCCTGTTTGGGGTTACAGTGAGGCCCAAGCTCACGGTCACCATCGACACTAACGTTAACAGCACCATCCTGAGATTGGAGGACAATGTGCAGTCCTGGAAACCTGGAGACACCCTGGTCATTGCCAGTACTGATTACTCCATGTACCAGGCAGAAGAGTTCCAGGTGCTTCCCTGCAAAACCTGTGCATCCAACCAGGTCAAAGTAGCAGGTAGGTAGGCCTCCAGTAGTCTCTTCCTAGGCTGGGCAATTCTGAAAATTGGTAGGCTTACATTTGGTTAAGAGTCCCTGGGGAATGCAAACGGTTCATGTGCTCAGTTGCTCACCAAAATGTTGGCAGTTCGAGTCTACTCAGAGATCTCTGTGCAAGAAAGGTCTGGTGATCTACATCAAAAATATTAGCCATTGAAAATCCTGTGGAAGGGAGTTCTGCTCAGAGACACGTAGGGTCACCATAACCCAGAGTCGACTCCATGGCAACTGCTTTTGTCAAGTTGACTGAAATCACAAGCAATCTACATCCGTCAACTATTGCCACCAAAATGTTACGTAACAAAACCCAAAAACCTATTTTATAGTCTCAGAAGCTTACAACGGTCGGTGTTTGTTTCCGCTCGTGCACGCCTGCAGCTTGTCTGGGCTCAGAGGCTCTAAGCTGAGCTTGGCTTCAGGCTGAGATTTGGGTTCAGTTCTGCTTCATGTAATGCATTCTTCCCAGAACACGTTCTTCTCATGGAAAAGAGTTAAAGTTCCTATCGAGGGGACTGTAAACACAGGAGGACTCTTAAGGCCTAGGTTAAAATGTGGCATGTTGTTGTTGTCAAGTGCCAACGAGTCAGTTCTGACTCATAGCAACCTTGTATAGGGTTGCCGAGGAGTGACTGGTGGGTTTGAACTGCTGACCTTGCAGTTCAAACTGACCTTTTGGTCCAGTGCATTATCCTGCAGCGACACGCCAGGACTTTTATGGAATCCATATTCCATTGCCCAGAGCAAAACGTGTGGTCAAGCTCTGCATGAATAGGGTGGGTTACATAGTTTTCCCACAAACATTGATGAAAGGAATGAATATTTGATAGATGATAATATAACCCTTTCATGACCCATGGGACATATATCGCCCACCAACATTTATAACCTCTCATGTTTCTTGGGAAGCTGCCATTCCAGTTGAAGTAAATGCGTGTTAAGGTCTGACAGGGAACTGTGTGTGTAACTGGGGGAATCAAAAGAAACAGGTTTCTCCCCATCAAGCCTACAACCAGAATCTACTTGGAACATTTGTGTCCCCAGGTAATTGTATGAAAATCCATATCGCCTCCAAACAAGTATCTTTATTCTTCGATGTCAGCATGCCTTCATTACTAAAAACAGGTGGTGCCAACAAAAAGGTCAAAGCAGAAAATAATTGGTCATGGAAGGCTTAACCTACCACAAAATTTTGTAGTCCTTCCCTCTATTGTTTTGGGTTTTCCTTTCATTGTATCTTCTAAACCTTATCATAAATGCATTAGAGTGTACATCATGTGATGCTCCTGGAATCACAGATTGTGTGAGCCCAGAGAAAAACCCAGGCCAATTGTCAGTTGGGGGGATTATGCACCAATTAAGGTTCTTTAGTTGTAAGCAACAGAATCGAACTTGACTGCCTGAAGTAAAAAGGAAATTTTGGGGGAGGCTAAGGGGCTCTGGTAGTGTAGTGGTTATGAATCGGGCTGCGAACCTTAAGGTCAACAGTTTGAAACTACCAGCTCTGCAGGAGAAAGATGAGGCTTTCTTCTCCTGTAAAAATTTACAGCCTTGGAAACCCTGTGCAGGATCGCTATGAGTTGGAACCCACTCCACGGTACTTAACAACAACAACAACAACAACATTGAGTTTAGCAGATTAAAGCAGAAATGGAGAAAACAAACTGTAGAAGGGTAAGGACTAGAGCAGCTTCGGGGCTGTGGGCAACAGGACCTAATGGAAGAAGCACGTTTCATGGCTGGGATACAGCACTCAAGAGAAAGGGCAGCGGGTTAGCCTCGTCATCACATGTTCAGCCCTTGGCTAACAGGGGTTGAGGCATCTTTATTTTCTGTGTCAAAAGTTAGCTCCCCAAAGCAAAACTGGGGTGTACTACCCTGGCGTGGACTCCTGGTGTGGCACTGTGGGTTAATGCACTGGACTGCAGAGTTGTTTGAACTGCAAGGTTGGCGGTTCAAGCTCACCAGCCACTGCTTGGAAACCCTGTACAGGGTCACTATGGGTCAGAACTGACTCAACGAGACTTAACAACAGCCCTGGTATGGCACTGTGGGTTAATGCACTGGACTGCAAGATTAGTTTGAACCGCTTTGGCAGTTGAAGCTCAGCAGCTGTTCCTTGGAAACCCTCTACAAGGGGGTTGGTATAAGTGAGAACCGACTTGACGATACTTAACAACAACAACAACAACCACAGAAAGGAGTCTCAGTACTGGGCATTCAAAATATCAAATGTTATAGGATTATAGGAAGGAAAGTCTGAAGATGTACTTCTGAAAATCAGCCAGTGAAATTCCTCTGAATCACAGTGGTCCAATCTGCAACCAATCATGGGGCTGGCCCGGGACCAGGAAGCATTTTGGTGTGGTTTTTTTTTTTCCATTGTGCAAAGGGTTACCATGAGTCAGACGCTGACTCGACAGTAGCTAACGACAACACAGGACCACAGTTTTGGGGAAAAGATTTAAATTTGGGTTTGGAGGAAGACTGTGGATTGAGAAAGCATATCCAATATATTTGAAATTGCCATTATTTGGTCCTGGTATGGAACTATAAGATAAGCACTGGACTGCTAGCCACAAGGTCAGTGGTTCAAACCTGCCGCCTGCTCCTTGGAAATCCTATACAAGGTTGCTATGAGTCAGAACTGACTCAACAGCTCTTAACAACAACATTTTTTTTGGAAATAAAACTACAGAAAGTAAAATTCAGCAAAGTTGTTTTGGCTGGTGAGGATGTGCATGAGAAATGATGAGTCTGACCCCTTTATTTTATTCATGGGGTAAGTGAATCTTGAAGATCATGTTGCTAAAGCAATCCATCAACCCTACAGCAATGATGCTAGGGTAGAGACCCTAGAACGCAAAGCCTGTGAAAGGAAAGCTGTCAATATTTGTAGGAGATTGTAACTGGAAAGAGGGAGAGAGGCAGCAGCTTGTTTGTAGAGACTGGTATGATTAGGTATCTGTTCTTGGACAAAGTAACAGACTCTACCTTTTAAAATGATAACTTGTTTGAATTCTTACTTTCTTCCAAAAAGATTTTGGGTTATCTCAGTAAAATAGGTCCCAGTAAATCTGATAAACAGAAGAAAGAAAAAGTGAAAGAGAAAGGTCTAAATAATGAAGGACTGTTAGAAGGAGAATGAATTCAGCCAAAAGGGAAAACTGAAACTAAATAAAACTATCAAAACCACCAAACTGGCTTCCAGAGCAAAGAAGGAAACGCGATAAATTACTTCATTCTCATTAATCAATAAAAGGAAGCGAACTAGAAGGCCAAGAGGAACAACTTTTTCTTAACTCTGAACTACTGAGGAAATTACTACATAGGTTTTCATATAAAGGATTCTATCTAGCAATGCATGGAGTCCAGGTGTGGCGCTGTGGGCTAATGCATCAGACTGCAAAGCTGTTTGAACTGCAAGGTCAGAAGTTCAAGCTCACCAACTGCTCCTGGGAAACCCTATGCAGGGTCACTATGGGTCTGAGTTGACTCAGCGGCATTTAACAATCTAGCAGTGTGGGAGTGCTGTGGCTCAGTAGGATAAGCACTGGACTGCTAACCACAAGGTTGGTAGTTCGAGCTCACCAGCTGCTCCACAAGAGAAAGGTGAGGCTTTCTCTCCCTGCAGAGATTTATAGTCTCAGAAACTGTATACAGACAGGCTCACAATGAGTTAGAACTGACTCAACACCACTTGTCAACAACAACAATCACTGTGAACAGTGATTCTGGAAGCAGTTTATGTTGTCGTTTGTGGTTTGACCCAAAAGAACAGATGGGCACATAGTACAGGTCACATTCTATAAAGACATTTTGAAGGGTTTGTTTGTTTTATAGAGGTGGAATAGTTTAATGAGAAAAGGCTTTAGAAATAAACCCAATTAGTTCAAATCCCAAGGATGGCACCTATTTGCTGTATGACCTTGGCTAACTATTTTATTTGTATCCCAGTTTTCTGGGTAAGCACTGGACTTCTAACTGCAAAGTCGGAGGTTCAAATTCGCCAGCAGCAGCTTCTCAGAAACCTTATACAGGGTGCTTATGGGTCAGAACCGACTGGATGATACTTAACAACAAGAACAAAAATAAGAATAATGGTCATCCCTATTACAGGGTTACGTTGTTGTTGTTAAGTGTCTTTGAGTTGGTTCCAGCTCATAGTGACCCTGGATAGGGTTTCCTAGAAGCAGCTGGTGAATTGGAACCACTGACTTTGTGTTTCAAACTCACCCTGCAGTCCAGTGCATGATCCCATATGCCACAGTGGAAATTAAATGAGTTTATACATATGATGTACTTAAAACAGGCCTGGAACATAGTAAATGCTCAATAAATATCAGCTGCTATTATTATTGTTATTGTTGTTGTTGCTAAGAGCCCTCAAGTCAATTCCAACTCATAGCGACCCTGTTTAGAGTTTCTGAAGAGCAGCTAGTGAATTTGAACCGCCAACCTTTCAGTTTTAACAGACCTTGACTTCTGGTGCATTATCCCACAGCGCTACACCAGGACTCCTATTATTGTTGTTAGATGCAATAATTTAGCCACTAAGCTTAAAGATGGGAGAAAAAGGCATAAGAAGAAGTCAGTGGTTAAACCTTGTATATTTTATAGCCTATGAGTCTGCTCTTTCGGAAAACAGCTCAACAACAGCTAACAGCAACAATGCAGGATCAATGCATATTCAAGATTGTTGAATTACCTTTAATTTGGGACTAAAACTACAGAAAGTAAAATTCAACACAGCTATTTTGACTGGTGAGGTTATGCATAATGAAACAATATGCATGCATGAAGACAGAAGCAAGCTATTCTTCTCATTTATAACCAACACATGAAACAAGTCTTAGCGCTGCAATTCTTCTTGGTAGCCGCTCTTTCTGTGGCTATGCATGCTCTACCTCCCCTGCGCTGAGGCTGGGCGAGCATCCTGGCAAGAAGCATCTCATCATTGGC